CCGATATTCAGTTTTAAGGCCGATACCGATAGGGGGCCGATTATATTGTGCATCCCTACATTACATATTGTCTTATTGCAAGTGCATGTTATCTAATTATCTTATTTTAAGAGTAAAAATACTCCTTCCATTGGCAAATCATGATTTACCTGCTCAAATGAAAGGTAAATACACTTACTTTAATACCTTTTTACAAATGTTTTGATTGTTTTTGCAGAGTAGCATTAACCAAGCATTTGTTTTAGTTAGCAAAATGGAGGTTAGCAAAGCTAACTCATTCAAAGTTTTCTATTTATTCCCTTCTAATACTGTTTTTCAGCCCTGGTCCTCAACACTACCTGCATGTCTTGGATGCTTCCCAACTTTCACCCATGTGAAATCAATTGATAGCCGTTTAAAAGGGTTTGGTGATCTGCAATCATCTGAATCTGGTCTGCTGAAGCACAGATGCATCTAAAACATGCAGGGAGCCCTGAGGAACCAGGATCTGCACAATGATTCATTGGCAAACCATTACCAGCAATGATGGAGAAGAAAGATAAAGTGGAGTAAAATGTATATAAATATAATAGCAATACTTTTTTCCTTCTCTAAAACCTAAGAAATTTTCTCTGCATGGGTTTCCTCACCAAAATGTAATGAACACATTTTATTGAAAACCTGTGAAACAATGAGCAGCATGTCAAGTAGGGATGTCCCAAACCCATATAAATAATCCCCATAGCCATAAAACTAATATGGGATTTAATCGATCTGAATCTAAAATCTTCGATATTTTCCTGCTGATAGAAACATTCTGCTTCTGGTAAAGTTTCTTTAACTCACTGGTTAATTTTAGAGGGATCTGTTGTTTCCGAACCTTTTGTTGTTGTTGACTTTTGTAACATTACTTGATCAAAGCTTTTTTAACATTCTATATCACATAATAAGCAATAAAAGCGTGCATGATAATATCATATCGGGTCAATATCGCGGCCAATTCTCAAAGCTGCAATATCAGTGTCGAAAAATGAAAACTTTGTATTGGGATACCCCTTAGTGATGTCATCAGGGGCATTACCCTCAGAGATGAAAGAGCAAAGACTGACTATATCTGCAGTGAGTGATTTTAGAGAAAAGCCTGACTTTAACAATAGCAGTGTGTATTGTGTTTTAACATGACCACAGTGTGGTCTTTGTTGTACTGACAGCACCATCATGCGCTCACCTTCCAGCCAGCAGAGCTGTTGCTGTCGCCTTTGTCCTTGAAATATGGCACAGACCTCACCATCCAGTCATAGATCTGGGACAAGGTCAGCCTCTTCTCAGGGGAGCTTTCGATGGCCTGGGTAATGAGGTCTGCATAGGAGTAGTTCCCCCAGGCGTTCCTGCGGGCGGAGGACTTCCTCAGCTGCTGGGAGGCCGAGCCGCAGAGAGCCGCTCCGGGGATGTGTGCGGAGGAAGGGGATCCGTCGGCGGCCTCCTCTTTGCCGGGGCGGCGCTGCACCTCCAGCGGCTGGGAGATGGAGCCGCTGCTCGGCTCTTTCACCGAGCCGCCGTCTTTCTGCGCAGAGCCTCCCTCCGCGCTCCCCCCCTCATCATCCTCCTCTTCGGGGATTACGTCAGCGTCGCTCGCCCCGGGCTTGCCAGCACCGGACTCCGGACGGGGCAGCGGCCAGGTGCAGGAGCGCGGCCGCTTCTGGGGCTCGAAATCCGGATCTATCTCAACGTTCGCTGGAGGCTCGTCAGAGTTCAGCGGAGCCTCGGCCATGTTAGTATCGGTGTCTCTTTAGCTGCTCTGGAGATTTCAGAACCGCTCGGCTCGCATTCCATCAATGTTGCGTTCAGGCTCTCAGGGACGGTTTGTTTTCAATGCATCGCGGGATGCAAACCGGGTCCCGCAGCCCAGACCCCGCACGTGTCCGCCTGTCCCTCAGCGTCGATCCTGCAGCTCTGAGCGCCAACAGACCATCCCTCAGCCCCACACCCCTCACCATGCGCTACAGGAGCTAAATCTGGAGACACATCCAAACTGCGTTCCCTCACGCGCGTCCCGCACACCAGTCACCAGTGGAATCAGCAAACGAGCCCCCCCGCATCACAGCTCCATCACCCGGTGCACAGCTGCCATTTTGACCGCCTCCATCCCCCCCCCCCAGCACCACCTCTAGGTCCTAATCAGAAGCCCACAGAGCCGCGCTGCCAGCCGCGCTGCGCCGCTCTCCAGATAGCATCAAGGCGGAGGGGAGCTGCTCAGAGCCCGGGGGCTGCTGGAAGGAAGACGGCGAGCTGCGGATAATCCGCCCTATGAAAGCCGGAGGAATGCTGATGCATTCTGGTTGTAGATCCCCGGCATCCTGAGCAACCAGCGCAGTGTCCTCTGCGTGTCCCGCAGCCTGCAAAGACTCCCGCAGCTGCTGCTGCTGCGGTTAGCGCAAACACCAGGAGCGGGGAAGGGGAGGAAAACAGGGCGATCCTGCCCCCTGGACTGCGATCAAATTAAAGAGACAGTGTGGAAACTGCTGCTGGCCGCTGACATCACCTCTAAAACCTCACTGAGCGAACAAAGGAGGAAGGAAAAGCAGAAGAGAAAATTCATTTTTATAAACTTCTGCGGTTCATGGATTAAATGGATCATTTATTCTATTCATGAAATAAAACCTAGATTAGCTCTCCTTTTATTTCTTACATTTATAGTCTTATTTTTCTAAAATAATGGTAAGAAAAAAGCTCATCCATTTCCCAACGTTCAGAAACTAGAAAGACTGAAAACATCTGGTCGAAATTATAACGTCACTCTAACACAAGAACAATAAAATATATGTA